CCTCAAATGATGTAGTTGAAGTTTTGGCGGTAAAGATTGAAAACCAAAACCTTGTCATTGTGGTAGAATACAAGCCTCCAGATGCAACTTCCCAGCAATTCCAGGAGCAGCTTGAGAAAATTGACCACTGTCTGGAAAATCTCCCAACTCCTGCCCCAAACATCTTATTACTAGGAGATTTCAACCTGAGACACCTAAAATGGAGGAATATAATAAACAATATTTTAGCAGGGATCACCCTGGGAGGCACCTCAGATGAAAATTCACACACACACGAACTATTAACTCTCAGCACCAAATTCCCCTTCAACCAGCAAACAGTAGAGCCTACAAGACTAGAAAATACACTGGACCTCATCTTCAATAACAATGATGATCTGATACATAATATAACTGTATCAAAGACAATACCTTCAGATCACTACATCATAGAGATATATACATGTATGCACAGGGCTTTCTGACCAGCAAAATGTGAGCAGTCATGAAGGTCTCTACACGAAATTCAGTTTCAATAAATAAAACATACAATGGGGTCAAGTAAACCATGTCCTAAATGAAACAAGCTGGGAAGATATCCTAAACAACGTTGATCCGAACATTTGCCTTGAAAAAATTAATTATGTGGTTCTTGAGATCTGCTCAAGATGCATTCCATTAAGAAAAAGAAAGAGAAGATGTAAACTAGAAAGAGAGAGATGTTCCTTATACAGACGAAGGCGAAGAGTCACAGAGCTGCTGAGTGGGGCCACTATATCTGAAATACAAAGGGAGGCACTAGTCAATGAAATTGCAAATATCGAACTTAAGCTGAAGGAATCTTACAGAAGACAAGAATCACAGGATGAACTAAAAGTCATAGAGGAAATAAAAAAAAAATACTTCTATGCAAAATATATATATAGCCGTCCTGCTCCACTTCTGGTTAGTGTGACTTTGTAAATGGTCCAAGTCGGACCGAAACGTCGTCGTAAGCTTCTCTTTTATGTGCGGGTTATTTGTGTGTTATATAACCAGTTTTCCACACTCACAGATCACCAGTAGGATCTAGTAACACTTACAGTAATATCACCAGTAGGATCAAGCAGCACTTACAGTAATATCTCCAGTACTATCAAGTAACCCTTACAGTAATATCACCAGTGATGCATAACCCACCACAGAACAGCAGGAGGCCAAGGCAAGAGTATGATGAGAGCAATAGATAGATGGATGACACACTGGCTTAAGTGGCAAGAAGGGCTGATGCGAGCAGGGCAAAGCTACTGATCTTGGGTGACTTCAACCACAAGGAAATCGATTTTGGAGAACTTGGAGCCACATGGGGGACAAGAAACGTGGAGGGCTAAGATGATGGAGGTGGTACTTGGAAACTTCATGTACCAACACGTAAGGGACACTACCAGAGAGAGAGGAGAGCATGAACCAGCGAGACTGGACCTAGTATTCACCCTGAGTAGTGCAGATATTGAGGACATCACATATGAAAGATCCCTCGGGACCAGCGATCATGTGGTTTTAAGATTCGACTATACAGTAGAGTTACAAGTGGAGGGGGAAGCTTGAAGAGCCGGACAAATGAAGCCAAACTACAAGAAAGGGGACTACGTGGGAATGAAGAACTTCCTGAACAGGGTTAAGTGGGACAGAGAACTGGCATGGGAGTCAGTAAACGAGATGATGGAATATATGACAACAATATGCAAGGAAGCTGAGGAGAGGTTTGTACCCAAGAGTAACAGGAATAATGACAAAGACAAGGTGAGCCCGTTCTTCACTCTAGGGTGAAGGGAGGCCTAAACCAAGTGTGCTAGGGAATGTAAGAAGTATAGAAGGCAAAGGACCCAGGAGAATAAAGAGAGCAGTAATAGAGCCAGAAATGAATATGCACAGGTTAGAAGAGAGACCCAATGACAGTATGAAAATGACATAGCAGCGAAAGCCAAATCTGACCCGAAGCTGCTGTACAGCTACATCAGGAGGAAAATAACAGTCAAGGACCAGGTAATCAGGCTATGGAAAGAAGGAGGAGAGATCAGAAGAAATGACCGCAAAGTATGTGAGGAACTCAACATGAGATTCAAAGAAGTGTTCACAGAGGAGACAGAAAGGACTTCAGAAGGATGGAGAGGTGGGGCACACCACCAAGTGTTGAACACAATACATACAACCGAGGAAGAAGTGAACAGGCTGCTGAGCTAGAGAGACACCTCAAAGGCGATGGGGCCAGATAACATCCCTCCATGGGTCCTGAGAGAGGGAGCAGAGGCACCATGTGTACCACTAACAACAATATTCAACAAATCTGTCAAAACAGGGAGATTACCTGAGGTATGGAAGACAGCAAATGTGGTCCCAGCTTTCAAAAAGGGATACACATGAAGCACTAAACTATAGACCAGTATCACTGACATGTATAGTATGCAAAGTCATGGAGAAGATTATCAGGAGAAGAGTGGTGGAACACCTAGAAAGGAATGAGCTTATCAACAACAGCCACACCTTTCCAGAGATGGGAAATCCTGTGTTACATTCCAACTTGAGTTCTATGACATGGTGACAGCAGTAAGACAAGAGAGAGAGGGGTGGGTAGATTGTATTTTCTTGGACTGTAAGAAGGTGTTTGACACAGTTCCACACAAGAGATTTGTGCAAAAGCTGGAGAAACAGGCAGGGATAACAGGGAAGGCACTACAATGGATCAGGGAATACCTATCAGGAAGACAGCAGCGAGTCATGATACATGGCAAGGTGTCAGGGTGGGCGCCTGTGACGAGTGGAGTTCCACAGGGGTCAGTCCTAGGACGGGTGCTGTTTCTTGTATTTGTGAACGGCATGACGAATGGAATAGACTCCAATGTGTCCCTGTTTGCAGATGATGTGAAGTTGATGAGAAGAATTTAATTTGACGAGGACCAGGCAGAACTACAAAGGGATCTGGACAGGCTGCAGGCCTGGTCCAGAAATAGTCTCCTGGAGTTCAACCCCACAAAGTGCAAAGTCATGAAGATTGGGGAAAGGTAAAGAAGACCACAGACGGAGTACAGTCTTGGGGGCTAGAGACTACAATACTCACCCAAGGGATAAGATCTTGGGGTGAGTATAACACCAGGCACATCTGAGGTGCACATGAACCAAATAACTGCTGCAGTAACACTTACAGTAATATCACGAGTAGGATCAAGTAAAACAATATCACTTGGTAAATGCAAGTTGACAATGCAAGAAAGACAACACTGCCCATATTTCTGGTTCTCCTCTGTGAGATAGAAAAGTTAGAAGTTTGAGAAGCTGAATCAAAAATTATTTAAAAAAATAAAGGTGACAACTGTATAATAATTGTAAATATGAGTTGTCTAATGACAAGTTGTCTAATTTGAAATGGTAAATTGGCAGCCATCTTTCACATATTTGAGAGTGTAAGTTGGCAGCCATCTTTCACATATTTGAGAGTGTAAGTTGGCAGTCATCTTTCACATATTTGAGAGGGTAAGTTGGCAGTCATCTTTCACATATTTGAGAGTGTAAGTTGGCAGTCATCTTTCACATATTTGAGAGTGTAAGTTGGCAGTCATCTTTCACATATTTGAGAGTGTAAGTTGGCAGCCATCTTTCACATATTTGAGAGGGTAAGTTGGCAGTCATCTTTCACATATTTGAGAGTGTAAGTTGGCAGTCATCTTTCACATATTTGAGAGGGTAAGTTGGCAGTCATCTTTCACATATTTGAGAAGGTAAGTTGGCAGCCATCTTTCACATATTTGAGAAGGTAAGTTGGCAGCCATCTTTCACATATTTGAGAAGGTAAGTTGGCAGCCATCTTTCACATATTTGAGAAGGTAAGTTGGCAGTCATCTTTCACATATTTGAGAGTGTAAGTTGGCAGTCATCTTTCACATATTTGAGAGTGTAAGTTGGCAGTCATCTTTCACATATTTGAGAGTGTAAGTTGGCAGTCATCTTTCACATATTTGAGAGTGTAAGTTGGCAGTCATCTTTCACATATTTGAGAGTGTAAGTTGGCAGTCATCTTTCACATATTTGAGAGTGTAAGTTGGCAGTCATCTTTCACATATTTGAGAGTGTAAGTTGGCAGTCATCTTTCACATATTTGAGAGTGTAAGTTGGCAGCCTTCTTTCACATATTTGAGAGTGTAAGTTGGCAGTCATCTTTCACATATTTGAGAGGGTAAGTTGGCAGTCATCTTTCACATATTTGAGAGTGTAAGTTGGCAGTCATCTTTCACATATTTGAGAGTGTAAGTTGGCAGTCATCTTTCACATATTTGAGAGTGTAAGTTGGCAGTCATCTTTCACATATTTGAGAGGGTAAGTTGGCAGTCATCTTTCACATATTTGAGAGTGTAAGTTGGCAGCCATCTTTCACATATTTGAGAGGGTAAGTTGGCAGTCATCTTTCACATATTTGAGAGGGTAAGTTGGCAGTCATCTTTCACATATTTGAGAGGGTAAGTTGGCAGTCATCTTTCACATATTTGAGAAGGTAAGTTGGCAGCCATCTTTCACATATTTGAGAGTGTAAGTTGGCAGCCATCTTTCACATATTTGAGAGGGTAAGTTGGCAGCCATCTTTCATATGTCAGCAATAGTTAAGGATTATATTACGAAAGTAATCTTAGACGAGCACGTAAGTCTTACCTGACTCACGAAATATTAATAACAAGACTGGAAACAATGAATGGTATATAAAAATCTTCCAGATTGGATGAGGCAGCTGCCCAGTGTTTAACACACTGGCCTGTGGGCTTTAGGACTCACCATGGTTTAAACCCCAACTGTTCCCTGGTTTGACAGGCCTTAGGTTAGGTTAGGTAAGGTTCATCAGGAAACAGGACAAGTGTTTCCTGATGTGGGTCTTAGTCATATGATGATCCACAGTTAGAGCTTTTAGTCATCTGGCCGAGGTCTTCCGCTGGCTTACCAGTACACTTATATAAAAAATTATTGTTATAATTATAAGCATTCTTGATAGGACTTACCTGGCATAAATGAAATGTAAATTGTCCTGAGAAACTCATGTCCATCTTTGCTAAGACTTTTAAGAGCTTCCAAATACTGTATTCCAACACACTTCATATCTTGTGTACCACGACCATATATATCACCATTGTCGTCTTTATCACCACTGAATGGTTCGTATTTCCAGTGTTCCTGAGCACCATACAAAAGATATATAATCTCCATTAATATATTTTACCATAATGTTACCAGAGCTACAGAATTATGTACATACACTACAGAATTATGTACATACACTACAGAATTATGTACATACACTACAGAATTGTGTACGTACACTACAGAATTATGTACATACACTACAGAATTATGTACATACACTACAGAATTATGTACATACACTACAGAATTATGTACATACACTACAGAATTATGTACATACACTACAGAATTATGTACATACACTACAGAATTATGTACATACACTGCAGAATTATGTACATACACTACAGAATTATGTACATACACTACAGAATTATGTACATACACTACAGAATTATGTACATACACTACAGAATTATGTACATACACTACAGAATTATGTACATACACTGCAGAATTATGTACATACACTACAGAATTATGTACATACACTACAGAATTATGTACATACAGTACAGAATTATGTACATACAGTACAGAATTATGTACATACACTACAGAATTATGTACATACACTACAGAATTATGTACATACACTACAGAATTATGTACATACACTACAGAATTATGTACATACACTGCAGAATTATGTACATACACTACAGAATTATGTACATACACTACAGAATTATGTACATACACTACAGAATTATGTACATACACTACAGAATTATGTACATACAGCACAGAATTATGTACATACACTGCAGAATTATGTACATACACTGCAGAATTATGTACATACACTACAGAATTATGTACATACACTGCAGAATTATGTACATACAGTACAGAATTATGTACATACAGTACAGAATTATGTACATACTCTACAGAATTATGTACATACACTACAGAATTATGTACATACACTACAGAATTATGTACATACACTACAGAATTATGTACATACACTACACTCTTGACTATCTACATTCCTTCAAAAAATAAATATTAAATAAGAATACCATGAAGAATAAGAGACATTCTTGCTGGTTGTTTTGTGCAGTTTGTAACATAATTGTTTTATTTAACCAGAGGCTTTTATAATTTGTTCCTATATTACTGTGTATGACAACTTGTGTACCTTAACAAATTACTGTGTATAATAACTTGTGTACCTTAACAACTTACTGTGTATAATAACTTGTGTACCTTAACAAAACTTTTACTGTGTATAAAACGTGGTATGTGTACCTTAACAACTTACTGTGTATAATAACTTGTGTATCTTAACAACTTACTGTGTATAATAACTTGTGTATCTTAACAACTTACTGTGTATAATAACTTGTGTATCTTAACAACTTACTGTGTATAATAACTTGTGTATCTTAACAACTTACTGTGTATAATAACTTGTGTATCTTAACAACTTACTGTGTATGATAACTTGTGTACCTTAACAACTTACTGTGTATAATAACTTGTGTATCTTAACAACTTACTGTGTATAATAACTTGTGTATCTTAACAACTTACTGTGTATGATAACTTGTGTACCTTAACAACTTACTGTGTATAATAACTTGTGTACCTTAACAACTTACTGTGTATAATAACTTGTGTACCTTAACAACTTACTGTGTATAATAACTTGTGTACCTTAACAACTTACTGTGTATAATAACTTGTGTATCTTAACAACTTACTGTGTATAATAACTTGTGTACCTTAACAACTTACTGTGTATAATAACTTGTGTACCTTAACAACTTACTGTGTATAATAACTTGTGTACCTTAACAACTTACTGTGTATAATAACTTGTGTACCTTAACAACTTACTGTGTATAATAACTTGTGTACCTTAACAACTTACTGTGTATAATAACTTGTGTACCTTAACAACTTACTGTGTATAATAACTTGTGTACCTTAACAACTTACTGTGTATAATAACTTGTGTACCTTAACAACTTACTGTGTATAATAACTTGTGTACCTTAATGTTGCAACCCCTGAATGGTTGCAATGATTATTATGTATATATATAATTATTACCTTTTCATTTAATTTTATATTGCTTATATTTGCGATAATAGCTAAATCGTAAATGTATTGCTTTATATTGTTATTTGACGTAGATTCCTTTGTTAGGTAGGATGTAACATATTATGTGCTCAGTTCAAGTCTTGATTGTCTAATTACTGTAATTATCGCTGTTTGCTCGTTATATTGCCGGCTTCTTGCTGGGCGACTGCTGTCCACAGAGCTATCACGTGATCGAGGGGGGGGTGTCCTCACCTCGCTTGAAGTATTCAGTCTGCTCTAGACTCGCTTGGTGGTTGGACAGATTGTCTGTCTCATTATTCTTGTTAGTTCTGTAGAACTCTGTTCACAGAACCTTGTATAGACTTAGTGATTTTCGATGTTGTACAGAGGTTGTGTGTCGCATAGACACTCTGAGTATCTCAGGTCCTGAGCTGTAGCTTCTGACCTAACTTGTACTGGTTTCTGTGTATTATCACAGTCGGGGATTTTCTTATGCTGAACTTAGATTCAGTAGTATGGGAGTTTTGTAACTTTTGTGGAGGATCTGCTGATGGTCCCTACTTAGTGTCGTTATATTATCTCCTTGTTCCTGATTCTGTGTCGCAGTTGCTTGTTGTATTGTTATTGGGCTTTAGCATTCTTTTTGTTGTTCAAGCAGACTGTTCTGGTTGCCAGTCGGTCAAGAAGTTAGTTAATGTGAGGACTTTGTCAGTCACTTTTTTAAGCCTAGTCGAGTCGTGAGACATAGCGAACTACTTAGAGCACTTACACGCATACACAAACTTGTACATATTTGTAATATCTTATTAAATGTTAATGTACCTGACGGTACTTAAGAATTATAAATGTGATATGTGCTTTCAGCACAATAATATTGTACCCGAGAGATGTGATATTATTTTGATTACTGTGATTAATTTAATTTAATTTGATAATATACCTCTAGACTTAATAAATTTATTAAATTTTAATTTCTCTAGTTAGTAGCCTACCAGTTGTAATCCTAAAGCACTATTGAATAATACTGAATTCTAATGGATAATTGGACAAGGATACTGACTACTTGTTACGAAAACCCAGTAACAGGCTGGATGCTAGAAGGGCAGTCCTTTCTAGTATTACCTGGAGATCTCTAAGCTTTTAGAATCGCGTTTTTTGTAACACTTAACAACTTACTGTGTATAATAACTTGTGTACCTTAACAACTTACTGTGTATAATAACTTGTGTACCTTAACAACTTACTGTGTATAATAACTTGTGTACCTGTACCTTAACAACTTACTGTGTATAATAACTTGTGTACCTTAACAACTTAACTAATCCTCTATGGAATGGAAGTAACTTATGTATAAATTATAAAAGCCTCTGGTTAAGTAAAACAATTATGTTACAAACTGCACAAAACAACCAGCAAGAATGTCTCTTATTCTTCATGGTATTCTTATTTAATATTTATTTTTTGAAGGAATGTAGATAGTCAAGAGTGTAGTGTATGTACATTATTATTATTATTATTATTAAAATTATTATTATTATTATTATTATTATTATTATTATTATTATTATTATTATTATTATTATGATTGTTTTTATTATTATTAAGTTATCGTCTTCCACTAAGATCTTTGATAACAAGGAATGTTAAACATATAAACTAATATTGGAAATAATTATTGAAGATAGAATAATTCAATTTTGATCAATAAAAATAAAGTCATGTAATATTTTAACATGTTTAATACTCATAATAAAATGACATTTATATATAAAACTGTAAGTTTAAAAAATATCTTAAAAAGAGAACAAAAGTATTATTGCGTTTTAATAATTAATTTTATTTAAACAAAATCAACGATGATATCATCAGTTATAAAGTGTTCTTAAAAATACAAGATAGTTTATCAGTTTAATTATCGGAACACCGGTGTGGAAAGATCGTAGGACAGAGTGTGTTGTGTTCGCTTGGAATATAAATCTGTGTTAGTTTACGCACAGATTAGCGTTGTTCCTGGTGATCCTTGGACTGTGTTCAGTGCTTCAGAGCAGTGAGCCACGAGAGGGTGGCTACGGGCCCCGACTGGGGCTCTGAGCCTCACAGCTCTGCACCCAGTGTGGGCGGCTGTGAGGTCACAGGCAGCAGCTCTGCTGCTGGCTCTGTCCCCACACCTACAGTCACCATGACAGATCCAGGAGAGCGGCCTAAACGTTCCTTGGAATGCGGGGACGAGTTGGAGGACGACGTGGGGCAGGTGGGAGCCCCCACCAAGAAGGCCAAGGATGCAGTGGAGACTACTGTACCTACCAATCTGCCACTAGGTCCGTCGGCAGCCCCTACCCAAGAAGACTTGCACCCCCAGATGGCCATAGGGGTCGTGGAAGGAAGCCAGGAGGATGTAGCTCCTCAAGTGGCAAGGATGGAGCCATCCCAGGTCCCTACACCAGTTGCGTCGGCCTCCACAGTGGACGGGGACTGGCTGACTCCACGTGGAAGGAGGAGTTCCCGTTCAGCTTGGGCACAAGCAACCAGGGCCTTCAACAAATTCAAGGTTCCCAACTACGGGTTTGTAAGGTATCTGGAAGGTCTACCCAGCCTCAAGTTCCGCTGCGAGTTCACTCTCAGGAACGAGGTTCTGGTCATTCCTCGGGACGAAGACTCTTACGAGGAGTTGAAGGGGCTGGTTGTGACCCATCCCAGCATGGTGGAACTGCTTGCTTCGGAGAAGGTGTACAAGGGGGTGCTCTTACACGTCCCTGTGTCCCTCCCACAGGACCCCATTTTGGAAGTGCCCAATATTGTCAAGGCGGAGCGACTCACTGCAACGGTGAACAAGGTGCCCACCCGCCACGTGCTGATCCACCACAATGGTCCACTTCCCACGCACCTGGACCTTGGCGTCTGGGGAAGATTCAAGACCCGACCATACCTGTCAGGCCCAGTACAATGCTTCAACTGCCAGGGGTTCAATCACATTG